GATTGTCCATTGGAAAGATGAAAAGAGCATTGTTGTGTTATGGCAAAAGACAAAAGGAACTTGATCTCAGATGCCTAAGAAATGAATGAGTGTGAGGATTTTTAATTTATTTTTTATAATAATGAAGTGACGAAAGTAATTAAAATACATGGGAGAGAAATAAATGAACGAGTAAATTGTCCAGTGAAGAGAGCAGACATTAATTAGATTTGTTGAGGAAAGAGGAAAATCCATGCAGAATGACGAATAATTTATCTTCTTTGGTGGTGGCAGCTTGAAGGTAATATTGAACATGGTTTGATGCCGTATGAGGAGAAGAGTTGATCGAATTCTTTAAGAATTAATAGTAGTTGATAGATTTTGGTATTATTATTAGAGAAGGAAATGGAGTTGGAGTGTTTTGGTTAGGAATTTGAGCGGAAGTGTTGTGAGGGGTGATGTTATTTGCCACAATAACTGGCGAAGGAGATGTTAGACGAGACTTGTCGGGAGGGGGTGATATTGCGGAAGAATTTGATTTTGTGGGGATTCGTGGTTTAGGAATTTGGGCAGCCGCGCCAACAGCGAGCTTCGGATTATCATGTAATGTGAGTGATGGTTTTATAGTAGATGATATACTAGGAGGAAGTAAAATGATAATTTCTTTTTATGAGTTTAAAAAGATAAATTAATGAATGAGAGCATGCTGAATTTCGACTTCCGAAAAACAGCTAATTTCGTTGTCCAATTGTTTTTTATCCTAACAAGATGCATTTGATTGCGGACAGGAAAGTTTCTTTTTACCAATAAATAGTTTGTTGCTTCCTTTTATATTGTTTAAATAATTTACATGACCAACGGCCCTACCATGCTAGAATATTGCAGTTTATAGTTCGATCACCGAAGTCAAGCATCATCGGGCTCTGTCGGTACTTGGGAGGGTGACCACCTGGGAGCACCGTGTGCCGTCGGCATTCAAAATTGGGGCCTGAATGGCTGAGTGTCAGCGCTCATTGCCAGTTTCGGGTTCAGATCCCCAGCGGTGCCATGGATGTTTGCAGTGGTTCGGAATCCACTTAAGCCGTAGGTCCCGATCTCATATGACTGTAAGAGTGTCACGGAGCAAAAGTCGGGGCTTCTACCTACGGGTGCTCCATCATAACAGAAGCTGCTTCCTTCCCCTTCAATCATGAGTACGTATGAGCTCCTGGGCTTGGCCCACGAAATGTTTGCCAAGTGGGATAAGAAAGAACAACAACAAACAAACATCATAATTTGTATTACTTCTTGTACTTCTCTGTATCGTTTATTAAGTTATCATTTATTAGTATTATTTACTAAATTCCAGTAGTCAGTATTTCGTTAAATAGGGATGTAAAATACAAATTTTAGAAATGAAATTTTGGCAGCGTAGAAGTGTAAATGGCCAGAAGTGAAATGGATTGCCACTTTGTGTTTATTTTCTGGTTTAATGATTTGAATAATATCAGAAGTCTGGATCAAACTGCCATTCCTACTTCCCTTGCAGATGCAAACGCCTTGGCAAAATCTAAACTTATAATTCTTTTTCTCTAAGATCAAAAGTAAATACCAAATTACAGAACTAAATGTCGACAGAAAAATATCTACTACTCTCACAAGATATGGATGAAGCACCACAAAAATATCAACATTTCTGCTGATGGAGTTAAAAATACCAAAAAATGTGGCAACTGTCCTGATATCGAGCTTACTCCCTCATCGTGCCACAGGTTTCGGGTTAGGTTCAGGCGGTACACCATGGATGTTTGCAGTGGTTCGGAATCCACTCTTTAAACCGTAGGTCCCGGTCTAATAGGATCGTAGAGCGTTGCAGGGGCATTGTTACTCACGTCCGTGGCTTATCTTCAAGTTACACGCTCCCCTGTGTAAACAAAGTGAGTAACGTCTGTGCAGGGCTTGCCTTAAGGCATCAAGGCAGCTGTCTAAGTGTTTGCCAGATGCATTAGAAAAAAAACCTCCATTCGACTCTTCTACACACTCCCTTTTATCTTTCTTCCTCTCCCATTATCGGTTCCAAAGTCTAACGGGGAAAAAAACATGCAAAGATCAAGTCTAACAGTAAAGAATCAATCCGTCCTGCAATGAGGACCTATCAACCTTGAATCCTGCCCGTTGGCTATATTTTGTTTTTCGAGAAGACATGGTAGATCTTTACTGCTAGATAATGTTTGCATTAAATCTGTCGATCTTAAAGGGATATATGTAGGGTTCTAGATACCGACTCTGGAGCTGTTTTTTCCAAATTGCAGTAGCTTCGAGGGTAAAGTCAATGCAGATTCCATTAAAAGCAGAAAGCACTCTTTGTAAACCTAGTATCTCGGAGAACCTTAGAGGAGGATATAAGAAAGAACAATACACAAATACGAAAGAACAATACACACATACTAAAGAACAATACGCAAATACTAAAAGAACATTTACACATGCTAAAGAAACAACACAATAAAATACTAAAGAACAATACACCTACTAAAGAACAATACACAAATACTAAAGAACAATACACAAATACTAAAGAACAATACACAAATACTAAAGAACAATGCACAAATACGAAAGAACAATACAACAATCTTTTAAATTACAAAACTTTAAAGGCTCTTTTTTTTTCTTATTGCGGCGAGAGTATAGTATTTCTGTCAAAATGAAACTGTTTCTTATTGATGACTGTTTCAATCGAGTTGTTCTTTCTCTTTACAGTCCCCCTGTCTAGATATTTGGAGTGCAGCACGACAGTTATCACAGAAAACTGCGGGGATTATGCGGCCAACTTCACCCACGAGTACTTCCGAAGAGCAGCTGGCGAACAGGTGGAGTTGGTGTGCGAGAAAATGCCAAACTATCCAAACCCAGATGAGAAGACGTGTTCCAATCCCGTTCCTATCTGCTCAGGAAGTTACAGCATTCACCTACGTTCTGCGTTGGCTGTTATTTTATTGGTTTTTCTACGCATTTTCGTGTATGGAGACCAAAATGTATAGTAAAAGGGAATTGTTCTTCAATGTACAATCATTTTTTTGCACTAGCAATTTTTTTTTCTAGGTTTATTTTTTGAATAGTCATCCTCCACATTAATGAAAATGTGAAACACAAGTAACGACAAGTTTTTGTTCTATTTCGTCTATTATGAAACTTATTAGTTCCCAATCTGCTGGATTTATATTTTAATGTTTTCATAAATTAGGTTTCATTTAATTAAAAAATAATTATAATATATGCCTTTATATAAACATTGATAAAATTATTATTATATAAATAATTAAATTAAGAAAATCTTTCCCAATCTGTTTGTTTTATGTTATGTTTTTAAATTAGTTCCTTAATCAAAAATAATTAAAAATACTTGCATTTTATAGACATTGATAAAATTGTTGTTATATAAATAATTAGATTAAGAAATAGTTTCCAATCTGTTTGTTTTATGTTATAATTTATAAATTAGGTTCCCTTAATTAAAAATAATTATAATACTTGCATTTGTATACACATTGATAAAATTATTATATAAGTAATTAAATTAAGAAATATCTTTCCAATCTATTTGTTTTATATTTTAATGTTTTTATAATTAGTTTCCCTTTAATTAAAAAATAATTAATAATACTTGCTTTATATAAACATTGATAAATTTATTATTATATAAATAATTAAATTAAGAAAAATCTGTTCCCAATCTGTTTGTTTTATATTATGTTTTTATAAATTAGGTTCTATCTTATTAAAAAATAATTATAATACTTGCATTTATATAAATGATAAAATTATTATTATACAAATAATTAAATTAAGTAGTATTAGTTCCCAATCTGTTTGTTTTATAGTTTAATGTTTTTATAAATTAGGTTCCATTTAATTAAAAATAATTATAATACTTTACTTTTATATAAACATTGATAAAATTATTCATATATAAAAATTAAATTAAGTAGTATTAGTTCCCAATCTATTTGTTTTATATATTTTAGTGTTTTTTATAAATTAGGTTCCATTTAATTAAAAAATAATTATAATATTTATAATAATATTTTTATAATATTATAATAAATATTATAATTTTTTTTATTAATAATATTTTTAATATTAATCATTTATGTAAACATTGATGAAAATTATTATTATATAAACAATTAAATTAAGAAAATAAAATTTAAGAAATATAAGAAAATATAGACGCATATTCAAAGTGATATAATTATTTCAATGTTAAATAGGTTAAAATATTTGTAATGTAAAAGTAAACAAAATAATAATAATGTTGTCTTTAAATTTAGTGGGCTGTAGCTATTTTGTATTTGAGTGATGTAATCTTTTCCATTATTTTTTTTATTTCCATGAAATTCTTCTATTGAAACAAAATTTAAGGATTATTAACTTTTTTGTCGAGCTATTCATCTTTTGAATTATCTTCTAATTATCTTTCATCCGTAATATTACGTTCTAGGTTAGGCTTTCTAGCTATTTCACAGTTTCTCCTTCCATTTATTCTAATAGAGAATTAAGTAATTGGTAATAATTATCAGCCATCGTAATAATCACTTATATGATTTTATAGTACTAATTTACTTTTATTTTCAAAAATGCTATCTAATAGTAATTAAGGAAAAAATACAATCAAGCAAATTATTTTTTTTCCTTTTTATTAATATTAAATAAACTATCGAAATATATAAAAAACAATAAAAAGTTGTATTTGTGACATTTAAAAAAAATTTTTAATTTGTTAAAGACTATCACTTAGTTCAAGTTATAAATCTGTATCGAAATGTATATAAATAAAAGTAAAAATTTCTTTCATAACATTTTTGTAAAGCTTAGTTTGTTAAAAATTATTACAAATTTATTCGTCTAGTTTTATGCAATAATATTCATAAACTAATTCATATAAAAGACTATTATATAAAAAGCTTTAAAAATTTTGTTTTAAAGTATTTTGTTTTTATAATTGGTTTTACTATGAAAGCAATTTTTTTAATTATGGATTCATCATCAGAAATATATATTTTTATATTTTAAATAAAAAAAAATTCTGGCTTAAATTTAAATTAATTATTTCTTAAAAATTTTTATATGCAATTCTAGATTTAATGAAGAATGTAAAAGATTTAAATAATTTTTATTGTCATATATATGGTTCATAATCGTATAGTAAATTATCTTATTTTAGCAAATATGTATTTTCAGTATGACCCAAATTAAGTACAATTTGTTTTATTATATATAAATCACAGGAAAACGAATGAATGATTATTTTGCTTCAATTTCTCTTGACTAAATTAGAAGAAAAAGTTGACAATATTATTAATTGTTAAAATTATAATTATTCTTAATTAGAATTAATAATTATTATTGCTATTAGAATAATGTTTATGATCTATAAATTTTTAAGAAAATTATTTTCAAAATTATTGTTTATCATACAGCACATAATACTTTTAAAATTGTTGTCTTGTTTGTTAATTAACAATTTGTGAATTGAAGGAACAAATTTTTTAAAAATAAATAAATAACCAATATATTTCCAATCTGTACAATAAAATACTATTCATTTTTATGTTGATTATATATTTAAAATAAAATATAACATTCACATTTACTTATTTTATTAGTCTTTTATTTTTTTTTATTTTGTTTCAAGAATTCAAATGTTTAAATTCATTTGTTTACCATTGCACACTAAGCGTTTTATTATTGATCAGTTACAAGTTATGCATAAGAATAACAATTACAAATTTTCCATTAAGACAATTAAACGAAATCATGCCTACATTCCGAAAAACTTTAATTTTTATTTTTAAAACAGAGAAAATTTTTAATTGCACATTTAGTTTTTAATTGTGCATTTTTTTAATCAAAATTACATATATACTTAGGTGATTATAATTAAAGTCCCATTTTCATAATGTTGTAAACAAAGAACCACTTGTCACAA